ATATTGGCTCTCTTGGAAATATCGTCACTGGAAAAAAGAAGATTGTATTTTGATCTATGCACATTGTTCAGGGTTTTGAACGGTTTAATTGTTTCACCGGCATTATTGCAACTAATTAATTTTAAGGTACCAACAAGACAAACTCGACAAAATATAACCTTTGGTGTATCCTCCCATGTAACAAATTATGGTTTTTATTCACCTATATCTAGAATATGCAGAGAAGCAAATAGGCTTCCACCTACTGTTGATTTTTTTAACTCCTCTTTCAATAAGTTTAAGATAGACATTAAGAATTACTTAAGTTTAATGTTAATGAATGTTATTGTAACTGGTCTTTGATCGTTAATAAATTATTATTATTATTATTATTATTATTATAAGCAACTGTCTTGATAATGATGAATGCTGTATGACTGTGTTTCTATACCATTTCCAGTATTATTTCACACTAGTGAAATTTGATTTCAAATTAATGAAAACTAAATTCACATCAGTGAAATCTAATTTCGTTTAAATGAAAATTGATTTCAAAGTAACGAAAACTAATTTCTCACAAACGAAATTTGATTTCACATTTTTGAAAATGAATTTCAAACTGACCCTAATTATTACTCATGTCTCAAACATTCATTATTTTAATTTGAAAAAACATCAACAAATAAATGTTATTTATTTCACTCTAATGAAATAAACCCACTGAGTTTAGATAACATAAAATACAATCATGAAACAACAATAATAATTATAAATTATTTAAATAAATTGAACTTCAGTTGAGTCTTCTTACTCCTGAGATAGCTGTATTCTGCATTATAGCAAAGATTATACCTTTCCACGTGATTTGCCAAACAAAGTTAAATTTATTAAAATGATTAATAATTATTATTGTTGTTTCATGACTGTATTTTATGTTATCTAAACTCAGTGGGTTTATTTCATTAGGTTGAAAAAAATAACGTTGTTGATGCTTTTTCAAATTGAAATAATAAATGTTTAAAAAATAAGTATTAATTAGGGTCAGTATGAAATCCATTTTCAAAAATGTGAAATCAAATTTCGTTTGTGAGAAATTAGTTTTCGTTACTTTGACATCAATTTTCATTTGAGCGAAATTAGATTTCACTGATGTGAATTTAGTTTTCATTAATTTGAAATCAAATTTCACTAGTGCGAAATAATACTGGAAATGGTATAGATCTGGCAAAGGTGTTTGACACCGTACCCCACGTAGCTCTATTGGATGTTTTAAATACCTATGGAGTGCGGGGAGTCGTGTTGGACTTATTCGCGAGTTATCTTGATGAAAGGAAACAGATGGTAAAAATTTATAATGTTTTCAGTGACACTTTGAATGTGCAGATTGGCATACCACAGGGTACGGTACTTGGACCGTTACTATTCATAGTTTATAAAAACTCCCTATGTAATTTCTTATGCCGATGATACGGCAATTCTCTTCAAAGGGTCCACCTGGCAAAGCGTGAAAGAAATAGCAGAAGATGGTCTCCTTAATATTGCAAACTGGTTGGAAACCTTTAAACTGACTCTGAACATTACAAAAACCAATTGCATGGCGTTTTCCCTCACTTCTGTCAATCGCCTGCCGTTTACCACTCTTCAGTTGGGTAACAAAGTCATTGGGGAGGTGGAGTGTGTTAAATACTTGGGTGTCCTGATTGATAACCACCTCCTCTAGAAGTGGTAAACAAATTTGTCTATTTGGGAGTCGTGTTCACCCCATCGAACTGCTTTCGGATAATGACGGACAATACAATTTTACGTGCATGTCAAGCGGCAGGTGCGGTTATGTCACTAACATCTAAAATAAAATACAATTCATTTTCTGTTAATAAGAAGCTGTTTTCTGGTTCCGTTATGAACTCGTTTAGTAATTGTTTACCAGTCTGGGGGCCTCGATATACTGATGTCCTGGAGAAGGTTCAGTCCTCGTTCTTTAAGTCCCTTTTAAGGCTCCCAAAGAATACCTCCCATGCCATAATTAGAGTTGAAACAGACAGTCTGCCTCTGTCGTATTTCGTGTTCAAGTCAACGCTAAACTATTTTATTAAACTATTAGGCATGGAGAATCACAGGTTGCCCAAAATTTGTCTAAATCGCCAGCTCAATTTATTTGGTGGTAATGCCTCCCCTAAGTTTAATTGGGCTTACAACTTTTACAGATGGTTTAAAGAAATCGGAATAACCCACTTGTGGTCTTTAAATAACATTTCTTTAAAACGTAGTAAACCAGAGATATTAAAACATTTTCGTGAAAGATGTTTGCAGACCGACTATCGAGTGGCACGAAATTCTACGTATACTTTGTTTTATAGTCAATTTGATTTAAATAAGCATTCGTTGAAGTACCTTTATTCTGACTGTGCTTTTTACATGATCAGAGTTATTAGACAAATACGACTTTGTTCGAGTTATAACTGCAATATATTCTGGAATGGCATAGCTTATAGAATTAATCAAGAAGAACTCTGTTCGGTTTGTAACCTAAGAGTGCCTGAAACATTTCTTCACGTTCTCTTTGAATGTCCTTTATATCATAGTGTTAGGCCGGCAGATTGGGGTGATATACCGAATTTTGCTCATAATTTGGACAATCTAAACCCTCAACTGGTGAGGGTTATTTTCCAAACCGTTACTAGTATTCTTAAACTTAGATCGTTCTTAAGAAATGAATAGACCTATTCTTTAGATTTTAATTTTATCTTCCTATTCTCCTCGTACCTGAATTATTATAGAGTATTATTTTTTGTTCTTTATCAATTTCAAATTTGGGTTTACATATTTAAACGTGTAGCTTATAAGTATGAGAAATGTAGCATTACTTAGATTAAGTTTATTATTGTGCAGAACCTACTGTTATAAGAATGTATATTGTTTTTAAACAATAAAGAATTGATTGATTGATTGATAACCACCTTAAATGGGATAAACATGTAGAACGTCTAAGCTATAATATCCGTAGACTTATATATAAGTTTTATATTTTGAGAAATATTTTGCCCAAAAAATTATTGATAACTGTCTATAAAGCGACAGTTGAGTCATTGCTTAGATATGGATTGCTTGTTTGGGGTGGCTTGTATGATAATTCACTTAGACAATGGAACATTGTTCAAAACTATTATTATTATTTCTTTTAAGTGTATTGTTAAGCTTTATGTTACTCTTAGTCTTAAGTGGTTGTCTGTAATTGGCCCCTGGCTGTTGATGTCTGATTGATAAATAAATAAATAAATAAATAAACTATATCCTTAAAGTTATGAAAAACAAATCTAAACTGTATTCCACATCTCTTTTATACTCAGAGGAAATACCCAATGATCGATCCCTTTACATACTTGCGGTGTGCCTGTTTGTCTATGAAAACCCTGACATTGTTTCCATTGTAAATCACTCACATAATACGAGAAACAGGACAAATAGACATCTTGTTATTCCTGGCTGCAGTACCAGTTTTATAAAGAGATCCGTGAACTACTTGGCTCCTAAATTCACTAATATGGTTCCAAAGAGTATTAAATTATTGAGCAATAAATTTAAGTTTAAAAAAGACTGTTTAAAATTTATAATCGCAAATCTAAAAAAAATCCTGATATTTCTCTAGATTTAAGTACATTGTAAAATTGTAAACCTACTGCATTAAAGTAAGTTAGTAGTTAAAAATTGTAGCAAATTACCGTTTCCACATAGTTTTGTCACAGCTTTATTTTGAATATTACCTCAGCTATGACATCTATAAGCTAAGTAACCTGCATATACAGATGTTGAGTCATCTAGATGCAGTTCAAACTTTCTAAGTATATAAAGTATGTAAAAAAAAGATTGAACATAATTTTACTGTAAGTGATCTGTAAAATTTCTTAATATATTATTTATTATTATATTATTATTATTATAGTTTTCGTATGATTTTTATTGATTATTCAGATAGACACACTAAAAATACAAAATTTTTGTCTCTTAAATTTTTCAATTATCTCGCTTCGTTTTCGTGGAAAAATTACAATACCATACCTCAGCACGTCTCTGCACTCCATAAGGAAAGATAAAAGGTCTGTTCCCACAGGAGTCTCTGACAGTTGGCAACCTGTCAGAAACAATCGCTCAGCTGAGTTACAGATTTATCTTGTAACGACAGCATTGAAAACATGTATGGGCGATGCTTACTGATAGTTTGCAAACTGTCAGAGACTCCTGTGGGAACAGACCTATTAATTCATAGGAATTAAGGTACATCACCCATTCATTGAGTGACAAGGACATAAATTCCATTTGGGGTTATTTTTTGTTTTGTTTTCATAAATCAACAAACTCCAAATTTTTAATCAATTCCTAAGCATTTTTATTTTTTCTTATGGAGTTCAGAGACATGCCGAGGTATAGTATTGTAATTTTTCCGCGAAAACGAAGCAAGATAATTGAAAAATTTAGAAGACAAAAATGTTGTATTTTCAGTGTGTCTATCTGAATAATCATTAAAAATCGTACAAAAACTACTGAGTGATATTTTTTTCTGCACAAAAACAACAGACTTGATCTCTGGGTACGCCCCTGGGAATTTTGGATCAAATCTAATTGGTCCAGTAGATCTCTAATAATGGTTGAAATAAACCGTGAAAATTTCATTGAAATCGGCTAAAGCTCTTCTGGGCTATTAATAAAAAACTAATTTTTTTTGAAAAACTTATCACCCTGTATCTTGGAAACAAAGTGTTTCCGGACCTATATCCATAGGAAATTTTTCAATTATTTTCATGAATACTATCTGCCCTTGAAGTTTGTAACACTATTTCTGAAACACCCTGTATATAGGAAGAAATATGAAATTCCATCTCGTAAAAAAAATAGTGTTCCTAACTCGTGCGAAAAGTCTCTTTTCCGCACTTGATTGCTTGCCGAACTCTGCTGTTCCGCACTAGTTAGGAAATATACTATTTTATTTATCCTTTTTTTAAACATTTGTTGGGATTTTCTTATACCTGGCTCGTGTTCCATGGTTTGAAGATCCTGAAGGGCTGTTATCCCCGTAGGAATATTGCTGTTGTTGCTCCCTACTTTTATAGTGCCGATAGACTGCCATTCCTATGCCGCCAATGAGCGCTGCTCCCAATAAAAGTAATCTGAATTGAAGCATACTGGAAATCTACACAAAAGAAAAAGGAAAAGAACTTTATGAAAATGTTAGGGTGTTCTCTTTGAATTTCCCCCGCAACATTTTAGAAAAAAACTCACCTTAATAGATATATCTGTAGCAAAGTTTAACAAATTATAAATAACTAGAATAGAGTAGAAAAACTGCCAAATACCTTGGATTTTGTATTAATTTATTTATAACTGTTGATATTCACTATGTGCCACTACTCTATTATCCAAATTTTAAGGTATTTTTTGCAAGATCTGATTAACAGGGTTACCAACCTGAAACAATTGACAACACTGTAAATAAAATACAAACATAAAAAAAAATTGATGCCAGAAACAAATTTGAAGGGCTGATAAGAATTACTGAATTATTTATTGTATTACAAAAACTAGGAAAATCAACAGGAAACTTACCCACGACAATTTAAGATTTCCTAAATAAATATTTTCATTTCCTTTGTTTTAATGGCCATATCCTACAATAATAATGGAATGACAGTCGGCTGAAACATTGACAAATGACAATCATACCGTGCGTTCGGTATTTTGATGGGCAATTTCCGAAATTCGCCCGTTTCTGTACCGACATTTTACCGGTAGAACCGATCGTCCGTTCGAAAATTGACCTGAATGATCAGCTATTTGACACCGGTGAGGCACCGAATGACGCTATATTGGTTCCGTTAGAGTTCCGGTTCTAAGAGAAATATTTCGATTCCGTTAGCGACCAATAATTCCGGTTGTAACGGTTCAAACCGGTATAGTTTTTCACAAACAGAACACTTTAATAACTTATTATTATTATTTGATAAATTTTTGTGTTCTCGATCAGTTACAGTTTGCATTTTTCAACTTTGCCCGTGCCTCATCAAAGCTGTTTTCTCGCGTTCACTTTTTTGAAACTGGTTCAAAACAGGTTTGAAATCGTATATTCTCGCGATGAACCCATGATGTCACACGAAATTAGTTCAAACCACTTCGAAATAAAATCCAATCCACCTTTTGAAACCATTTTCTTGCGCTAAGAAGTTATGAAATTGTTTTAAAACCAGTTTTGAAAAATGTGTCAAAACTTTGAGACGCGAGAAAACACCTCTATACTTTCAGTGCGTTCGGTATTATGATCTGAGTTCTCCGAGCTTGAATTTACTGTTCGTCTAATTAAAAAGTTTCCTCGGTGCAGGTATTCGCGCTCGTTTATTAAAATTTCGAGGGCTCTGATACGGCGTTTTACTGCTCTGTGCGCTTGCTGGAACGTGATAACTGCTCCGCTCCAGCACGTTCTGCTCTTTGAGCAAAATACCGAACGCAAGGCTAGTTGTATTCCTTTCACACCTAGGAGGAGCTCCGGGACGTTACGCACTTTATTCCTTTCGGAAAGTGTTTGTTGCACCTGAACTGTTCAAGAGCAGGAATCAATCCATTTAAATGCACGGAAGCCAGCGCATCTGTTCCTTTCAAATCGGGGTCGACTAGCACCGGACAGAGTAGCTCTAGTCAACTCTAGTGTTCTAAACTCTTGAAAGGAATATAACTCACCGCATGCATATTCTTATTTCTTTTGAGGTTTAGGGAGGATTTTCGTGCATCCGTTTTTCCGACGAAATATGTCCGTTTAACATTCTATTTTGACATATTTATAGACGATTATGTCAGAATAGAATGTTAAACGGACATATTTCGTCGGAAAAACGGATGCATGAAAATCCTCCGTTACTGGTTGCCTTATTAAGGGTGGGTATTATAAAACTACTTTGAGAGTTAACTTAAAGTTAACTTCTGGAAATACATGTAATTCAAAAAGTTAACTTCAAGTTAACTGTCAAAGCAGTTTTATAATACCCGCCCTAAGCCTTAAGCCTAGTACTCATAACTGCGAAATTCGCACTTTTTTGACATTGCATTGACAATTCGACGTTTTATGCGTGTATCAAACGTCAAATTGTCGAAGCAATGTCAAATAAAAGCGAAATTCGCAGTTATGAGTACTAGGCTTTAACACGGAAAAGTTGAAAAATACAAACATTAAGCCTAGTACTCATAACTGCGAAATCCGCATTTTTTTGACATTGCTTCGACTATTTGACGTTTGATACACGCATAAAACGTCAAATTATCAACGCAATGTCAAAAAAATGCGAATTTCGCAGTTATGAGTACTAGGCTTTAAAGCGGTATTTTATTGACATTTTGGATAAACATTTGAATCAAGATTATTATTGAAAAATAAATAAAAATCTCATGTCCCCCACCAGGCCAAAGTAGCAGTGATGACGTGGCAGCGTATTGATTCTTGCCTTAATGTAGGATGTTCATCACAGGTTATGATTGCGCTGATTTTTGCTTTATGCTTATTTGCTTTTATAACATAATTTAACATTATAATGGCCGTTTGCACCGACCATTTTCAGAAAGGTTTAACGATAATCAACGCTTAAATTGACATTTGTAAAAATAACGCCATATAACACCATGAAGCAACACTTGTTTAGAATTTTCAGCTCTCGTTTGCATCTTCCTCTTTGCCTATTATGTCAATCAAAACAATTAAATATTATTTTTCATCATCAGTGTAATAATATTCATAATTACGACCGCTGGCGCAAACTGCTAACGACACCATTGATGACGTCGGTAACGGCGTAACATCATATGAATTAACTTGATTCCAAAAATCGAGACCGATAAGCAATACTGTAGTGGTGTGTAATATCCGTGGTGTAGCCTAGCCAAGTTCAGAAATGCGCGCTTTCCAACGTTCTGTTTATTGTTTTGAAGTGTTAAACTCATTACGATACGACGACGAAACAGCAAACCGAACAGCTTAATTTATGAAATCTTGAAACCTTGAAAAATACCAGTAAGCACCAATTAATCTATATTAGTTCCGGTCCAGCTCAAGTCCCTGGGCTGGGATCACGACAAGTAGAATTCTACTAGAGTTCTACTTTCATGACGTCAGGCTGACTAGCAACCGTCATCATCGCCTGTACTGTACGCGATAAATAAATCGCGGGTGACGTCATGAAAGTAGTATTCTATTTGTCGTGATCCCAGCCCTGGTTCAAGCCCGAATCAAACCATTTAAATGCACGAAAGACAGCATATCTGTTCCTTTCGAATCGGGGTCGACTACACCGGAGCGAGTAGCTCTAGTGTTCTGAACTCTTGGAAGGAATATAACTCTAGCTATCGATACTGTAGCTTTTCAAAACTACTTTTGTTGATGCTTGAAAATATCGATACGATATTTTTATGATTTGGAATGCTGGGATCGATCGTCGTACATATCGATATGCCCTCCTACCTTTCTAGTAGTCCGACTTGAAGTTTGTTGTAGATTGGAAGCTCCAAATTTGAAATTGGATGTGAATTTCGAAAAAAGCAAATTTATGTAAAAAGTTAATTAATATCAATCAATAGTCCTGAACTCAAATTGGCACAATTTTAATAATTATAGAATTTCCAAAGAAAAAAAATTACTTTATAATTAGGTATATTTATTCACAAATTATTTTTTACTTTTCGTGTCTCTATCTCTAACAATTTTGCCATAAATATCAAGTATCCCTTCTTTTCGTCTTTTCCTATCAAAACTCTTTCCTTTCGCCGTCGACTTTCCGGCATTATTTTTCCCTAATTGCTGAAACTTTTTATCCGTAGTCTCTTTTTTCTTTTCAATTTTCCTCTCTGTGATCAAATGTTTGTAATTTTTATATTGGTTTTTTGGGGGTTTAGCACCTGAAACAAAAACAACTTAAAATATGGAATAAATAGAAAGGGGCAATATTTCTTACCTAGTTTTATGAGCTGCTGGATTTTGGCTTCTTCTTTTTTTACAGGATCAAAACCCGACATACCAAATTTGATAATTTCATTTTTAGCTTTTCTAATGTTAAAATCTGTATCAGTAGCGGTTTCATTGTCTATACTAGAGTTTTCCAATGTTAAGGATTTCTTTTTCTTCGGCTTGGGGGCCACATATTCTACTTCATTGTAATTGGTTTGGGGATTACCTTTTAGGCGTGATGCTCTAGTAGGAATGAAGTCTAAAGACATTTTCAAATAATCTTGTTTTTTTTCTAGGAAAATTTAAACTTTAACCAAGAAGGCTTGTTTACAAAAAATGAAAAGAGCACGTGTTAAAATCTGTCAAAATGATTGTTGATGTTTTTAGTTGCAACTGCCAAAATCCAAAACTAGAAAAAAGAAGAGAGTTTGAGTTTGATGTTACAAATCAAGACCTAACCTCAATTCTTTTTTGAGTGGGGGCTTGCCAAACCACAAACCAAAATGCGTATCGAGACATGTTATTTTTGTTCATCTAAAATCTATCCAGGCCATGGCATCCAATTTGTAAGGAACGATTGCAAAGTAAGTCTTCATTTTCATCAAAAAATCCTCTATATTAGAATAACTAAAATTGTGCAACACATACTTAATGGTCCCTATTTTGTTGTGCCCCCCCCATCTAGATATTCAAATTCTGTCGTTCAAAATGCCATGCAGCCTTCAAGAAGAAGAAGAACCCGCGTAAAGTTAAATGGACCAAAGCCTACAGGAAAACGGTGGGCAAGGAACTGGCAATCGACCCATCATTCGAGTTTGAAAAACGCAGACATCTTCCAATTAAATATAGCAGAGACACTTATACAAAGGCCATTGAGGCAATGAAAAAAGTTGAAACCATCAGACAGAAGAGACAAGGAGCGTACATCATGCAGAGGTAAAAATTTGTGGCTCACCTTGTAAACATTTAATACGTAAAACAATATTATTTCAGATTGCGTAAAGGTAGAGAGTTGGAACAAGAACGCGACGTCAAAGAAGTCCAAAGAGATTTGGCTCTCATTCGTTCCCCAGCTGCAGGACTCAAAGAAAGACAAGGTCAACAAATGGCCGAGGATTATAAGGAAAGCGAAAGTGAAAATGAAGATCAAATGGAAGGAATTGTTGAAGATGGAGGGGAAGTTATTTTGTAAACTATTATTATTGGAATAAAATTATATAATTTTTGACAATAGTAAATTATTGTTTTTTATTGGCTAATAAATTATTTTTAATACGTTCCAGTTCCTTAATCCTTAACTTTGTTGCCTCAAGCCTGGCAGTCAAATCCTCTAACATGGGCCTGGAAACTTTAGTAACAATATGACCCAAAGCCAGAGTCTTAATAGCATCGTTATGCAATATGTCTAGTAAATCCGAACTAGTTTCATTATCATTTGCGCTATGTGTTTCAATTTCTTCTTGGTTAAGGATTTTCGGCAGACTGGTAATACTTTCCAAATTGTGATTTTGCAAGGGTGAAGGCACGACCAACAATGGTACATCGCGACGTTCATATTCACCATTCTCCAAAGTTTGAGCTTGAAAACATGTCAACTGAATCTGGTTGTTTCTGGTACGAGGGTCGCTTTGGAAAACGGAAAATATCAAGCCCACAAAAAACTTGTCCATCATTTGATAAGTAGCTTGGGTTCTTATGTCTACATGACTGGGCCAAACAGTAATATGGGGATGCGAATGGTACCAGCCTATAACTCTCATAGGCCTGCCTAGAGTGGCGGCCAGGTTCTCGGCGTGCACCGTAGCCTCGCAAAGTTGTTCCGGAGATATTTCCACTCTGTCCGGTTGCTTGTCGCTCCTGTGCAGTATCATGCAAGCCGTTATGTGGGCTTCGCTTCGGACTTCGTCGACGTCGCCGATAAGCAGCCCCATGATTTCTTGTTTTTCTGTTGTCAGTGCGTGTTGGATGCAAATCGCGTGGACGTCGGACGCCAGGCTTACCTTCTTCAGGTATTTTTCGTCAGCAGAAACCATTTTGGACATAGAGTCAGCAATTTTAGACATAGAGTCAGCAGTTTTCGATTGGATCCTTTTGTTGTGGATGGACTTGGACTGCTACCATTTGAGAATTTGAGTTTGAGAGGTTACATTTGGTTACAGCACAATGCTAACAACAATAAAAATTCAACTGGGTTTCACACTTATTTCACAGCTATGTAGGTTTTTTGTTCTTTCGTGTTTTGAGTTATTTAAAATCGCTCTCGCACGACAACTGACAGTTTACAATGTTAACACTTCAAATATTCAGTTCGGAACACACTGTGATCACGTGACCAGCGAGCGAACAGAGCAGTTGAAGGCTGTATAAGAGTGCCAGAAATTTTCATAAACGAACGCTAATGAGCCTGCACCGAGTACAATTTTAAATAAACGAACGGTAAATTTAAGCTCAAAGAACTCATCTATTCCATTCATATCGGGGTCGACTAACACCGGAGCGAGTAGCTCGAATGTTCCAAACTCTTGAAATGAATATAACTATTCCGAACTCACCTAGAGAGGAGGGCTTATTGCTACGATATATCGATATATACATCGATACGCCCTTGATGATAGTGCATATCAATACAAATTTTAGGTCTGTTTCCACACGTCAGAAAACCATCCCATGGACGGTTTCGAAGCCACTCAGTACACGAATTCCGAATTCTACTCACAAATTTCAGATTTTGCACAGAACCGTGACGGCACATTTTACGGCTTCCTGCTGTGTTAGAACAAAGCTGTTATATCGTATCGAAGACGAAGATATGAGTTGCTTTTCAGTGACGCACTTTAAGCACTCCTGAGCTGCTCTAGTGCGCCCCGGATTTTTTATAGGCGTTCCAGTGCTTCAGAGTTTCGGGTTGGTTTTAACTCCAGCGATGCGTTCAGATTGAACGTCGGACGCGCCCGACGATCATTATCTCTTTATCATAAGAAAAACAAATGAAAAGGACGGGGATAACGCCGGACGATGCCCGACGTTCAATCTGAATGCGCCCCAGGGTAACCGTGTCCAGTTGCTATGCTTACTCCGGAGTTATGCTTAATCCGGGGGTAACCTGCTATTAATAGTTGTGTTTCTTTCACACCTAGTAGGAGCTCCGGAACAGCTCCGGGGCTTTACGCGCTTATTCCTTTTGAAAAGTGCACCTGAAGTGCTCAAGTCCGAATCAAACCATTTAAATGCACGAAAGCTAGCGCATCTTTGCCTTTCAAATCGGGATCGACTAGCACCGGAGCGAGTAGCTCTAGTGTTCTAAACTCTTGAAAGAAATACAACTATTGAGAAACCGGCCCTGAATACATCAAAAACACGACGCTTGAAGTTGACACAGCAGTGGTTTGGAGCACCAGAGTGTGAAGCTGGGGGTGCGTTCAAGGACGGCAATGCTAATGCCAAAACTCACTTTTCCCCCTCCACCGGTAATGCCGAACCACGTAGGTTGGAGCCGAACTCGAACGTAAAATGCCAATTTTGGCTTGGCTGTAGCCATTTCTGAACGCAGCCCGGGTGTGTAGCACCTTAAAATACGTCACTCGAGAGAACGGCTATGGCAACATAGCTCTAGTTACAACATCACAGTTCAAAACCGTTAATAGGACAGTTTTGGCACAGCACTTTTTCACTAGACCTGGAGGATTCCCGGAACGTTATTTGCTATTGAATTCAAATTTTGAATATTCCCGGCTCTTGATTGGGTTGTTTTGGCGCTAAAAATCGAATTTTAAATATTCCAGGCTCTTGATTAACCCCTCATTTTTATTCTAATGTGTCTAGTCGGTGACTCCACCGATGAGTTACCTATCTTCACTTTTTGATTCTTCTCAACTCTTGATTAGCTTTAGAATTCAATTTTTCTTGGACATGCGTATCGATAGCTATGCATATCGATAAGCTCTTTTCTAATCCACTAGACAATCCACCAGAGCCGCTTTCGGGTGCAACCCTTTGAACGCTCCCTAGTTACTCCGAAGTACTCCAGCTACAGTTTGACCCGAGTAAACGCAGAGTTTGGCGTTCTCGAGCTGCTCTCATTCCCTCGCCTCTTACCCTTAAAGCTAGGTTGTTTGAAATATGTTGGTTGCCTGATACCTTTTATGACGTCATCCGGGGTGCTCAAACATAATGCAAATCTCCATTAGGCATCTTAGATGACGTCATCATTCCCATTACCAGACAACTTATTAACTTTAGGAACCCTGCTCAAGCACCTACCATGGCTGCGTCACGCTCCGGTTCGGGCAATACGGTTTCAAGCGTTCGAGTGCAAAACGCTTGGAATATTACGGGTGTGAAGGGGTTCTAAAGTTTGTTTTTTATTTAAAGATAATTCCCCAAGTCAAAAATTTAGTGACTATATTGGCAACACAAGCCTTTTCTACATGAAAAAATTGAAAGCATTAACAATTTTACATTGTATTGCCAACATAATGTCATTTTGACTTTTATCTTTAAAAAAAAACAGATTTTAGGACCTTTGCATTCTCCACCCGAAAGCTATTTGCTCTTAAACAATCTCAGTTATAGCTCTATTCCAACAGACATGAGAACCGTTCGAGAAAGGTAATTTCTATTGTAGTCTCCAGTCGATCCATTCATTTGTCAATTAGGATAAACGTTGAACTCATTAGGCATTTTCGCGAGAATAACCAACCATAATCTTTTGCTGGATTATGTGATGTGTCATTTGTGTCATACTCCCCTAACTCTTCCACCATCAAATTCTGGGATACTCGAGGATCTAGAACACTTAATTTCTTCGGTGAGAACAGACCGAAAATCTCCTCTTCTACATTTAAAATCGACGAAAAAATTAATTCAGCGCAGCCTGAATCCCAAGTATTCCATCGAGGTCTGCGGGTGACGCCATCACTATAACCTGCTGATAGTGGCGTCACTCGCAGGCCCAGATTTTGATGGTGAGGGAATCACCTCCGGGCTAGTTTTAACTCCAGGGTACACGTGTCCAGTTACTATGCTTACCCTGGAGTTATGCTGTAACCCGGGGGTGACTTACTATTTATTACTGTAATCCTTTTATACATCGAGTTACACCGGACGTAAAGCTCTAGAAGTCCTCGGAGTCACTCCAAAACACACAATTCAGATATTTATCATTCTTTGATATTCATTACCTAAAGGGCTTTTTGCACCCCCCGCAAATTTGGTGCATCAGGAAAAGGAGGATGCACTATGAGCGACTCGATTACTTAACGCACTTTTAAAAAAACGTTCTAGCTCCGAGTAACTGAACGAATGAAAGGAATTCAGTAATTGAGAAACCGGCCCTACGGATTGCTCAGCTTCGTTTTTGGTAGGTAATCGCCGCCATTTTGGTGTGTGTCACCATTTCCGACGTCATAACTAGTCGTTAGCTAATTGCACTAGCGGTCGTAATTTAGAATTTGAATTTATGATGCAAAATAATATTTAGATTTGATTAACATAATAGGCCAAGAAGAAGATCTAAAAAAGAATTGTTTTAGAATATCAATTAATGTAGTAAAACCAAGTACGCATAAAGTAAAAGCCTGTGGAATTATAACCTGTGGTGAAAACAGCCTGCACCAAGGCGAGAAAGGACATGCTGCCCAAGGATGATACGCACCTTGCTTATCGGTTTCGTTTTTGGTAATCGCCACCATATTGATGTGTCACCATTTCCGACGTCATAACTAAGTCGTCAGCTGCTTAAACAGTCAACGTCAAGGCGAGAAATAACATGCTCTACGTCACAACTGGTGATTTGCTATGGGGGGGAAAGGGGGGAGCATTTGTTCTACACAGGTCTTATGAGGATAGGCTAGTTTGTAGTGGTAGTGTGACACACCGAATTCCTTTTCGGCCTCGTTTTTGGTAATCGCCGCCCAATGAACTATAACCAAAAACTGGAATGCGTACACATATTGACGAACGTGAAGCCTAGTGCCGCTGCTGCGGAGGGGATACCTGTTCTTGTCGCACTCATTACGTTAAATGGCGGAAATTGCTTCCAACACGTATTCCAATTGATGAAATCAGTGAAGGAAAATATGACAAAACTTTCAAAAACGTCATATGTCAGCGAGCAACAGAAAAGAACAACATTCCCCCTTGTGGCATCTGTCTTTCATGGCTTCATTTTTTTGGCAGATATGGCAATCTGTGCGCATTCCAGTTTTTGACTATAGTTCAATGTCGCCGCCATATTGATGTGTCACTTTAAGTTAACTCTCAAAGTAGTTTTATAATACCCACCCTAACAAGAAATTCTTGTCAAATAATTTTAAGGTGATGTTCTGCACTTGCTCCGAGACGCTGTACTGCAGAGTTGCGTTGCGTTTAGAAATAGCACTCTCGGTGTGAGAGTGACCCTAGAGTAACTCTAAACCGCTAATAAATTAACAGGTTTTTACTTGGAGCGATAAGCCTAGTACTCATAGCTGCGAAATTCGCATTTTTTTGATATTGCTTCGACAAATTGACGTTGTATGCGTGAATTAAACGTCAAATTGTCGAAGAAATGTCATAAAAATGCGAATTTCGCAGTTATGAGCACTAGGCTTTAAGCCGAGAGTTTTTTAAATCGAGAGTTGACGTGCCCAGAGTGCGCCCAAATTACCCCACTCTGGGACTGGGTTGAAAAACATCCCGTGGTTTTTACCGTATTTGACGTAGGTAATTCATGACACCACAACGCCCCAATACATTCAGAAATAGCGCACCCAGAGTGCACTCCAAGTGATGACGTCAGAACGCTCTGACAAACAATTACTCTACCATCACACTCACAGTCCATTTCTAATGGCGTTTCCGATTGGTAGATCTAGTGCGGAACTAGTGCAATTTTTTTTATTTCTGTCTTTTTCTTTACAGGTCGATTAAAAGGATGCAAATACACTCAGTGCGCACTGAAATTACCAATCGGAATCGCCATAAAAGCACTCCAGCGATTTGGAAATTTATCGTTTTGACATTTCTAGCCGTTCTCATAACCAATAACCATAATTTCCTTTATTTTCCATAGTGAACTCTCTAGTATTCTTCTCTATCCACTCTATATCTAGAATTAACAGTACAATGTTAAACTTTTCAACTTCAAGTTGTTCCAAATCAACAGGTTGGTGTCAGTGCAAAACGAATGTTGCACTTGCTCTATAAATACGTTGCTTCATTTCTTTTTGTTGCATTTTTTGATTCTGCCGTGCTTTTTATTCCAGAGCAAAAAAAAAGTAATTCTCACGGGTTGTTGGTCGTTCTAATAGCTCTGTTCCAGCCGACATGAGAACCGTTCCAGAACCAGTAATATTCAGCTGCCCACCTATTTTTTAATAGGTTGAACTTTTATCCTGCTTCACGAATGAATTGGCCGACTGGAAATAAACGTCCTAGAACGGTTCTCATGTCGGTTGGAACAGAGCTAATTATCCGAGGCATCCCGGAGCAAACCTATTCATGCCATGTTCTCAGTTCAAGTCATTTGTGTTCCTGTTCTTACTCTACTCTCGTATTCGAACTTCGAACGCTATATGTCAAACAAAAATGTTCAATTCAAAATGACAGGACACTGGACAGAGGTCCATGTTGTTTTGTTTTTATTTGATTTTGTAAATTAAATGCTTGTTGCACTTTAATTTGTTTTTAGTAAAAATAAATAGTTGCTCTACCATAGTGCTACTTTAAATATACATTTTGGTAAAAATGTCTTCTTCGGGGGAAGTAGGTACCAGTACCCAAGATGCGGCACCGGCTAATCCCATTGTGGGCATCATTTACCCGCCTCCTGAGGTTAGAAGTATCCTTTTTACCATTTATCTACCATATATTCAATTTATTATATTTATGATAGAGCTCTACTTAGCTTGGAAAATAAATATTTTCCTTAAACAATTTGTTAAGACATTGTCGACAAAACAGCCAGTTTCGTGGCAAGAAATGGTCCCGAATTCGAAGCTAGGATTCGTCAAAACGAATTGGGAAACCCGAAATTTAACTTTTTGAATTCGGGAGACCCTTACCATGCTTATTATCAGCATAAGGTTAATGAATTTAGAGAAGGGAAAGGTCAGATTGAGCACACTGTATGTATAGGAAATTAACTTTATAATATTCTTATTGATTTCAGCTCAAGAACCTTCCCTTGCTCAAGGAATATCTAAGCTGACAGTATCTGCAAGTCAGCAACAGAAACAACATGACATTCTTAAACAAGTTGAGCAACCGTTTGTACCAAAGGATCCACCCAGTGATTTTGAGTTTATTGCTGATCCACCTTCCATATCTGCTTTGGATTTGTATGTTTATGTTTAATTCATTGTCCATTCATTCATTATTCACAAGAATTTTTCGCACAATTTGGAAAACAATAGTTGTGGTACAAATATAGGTACAATAATACTGAAGTAAATTAGCAATAGTACTGGCATCAAAATAATAAGGTCAAAAGTTGTATAGTCACAGCAAGAAAACAATATGAGTGAAATCTATTGGACAAAGCCGAACAGTTCTATTAACTCGAACCTTACCTCTGAACACACTTATTTCAGTATTGTTAACAAAGCAACTCTAGTGCCATTTGAATCTGACCAGGAGGTTACAGCATGTTTTGCCCACCAATTCCAGAGTATTTTTACTAAACTCAGCCCGACAGCCTTACAAATATTAGACCACATCCAGTTGAATTCTACTCCAGAACAGAAATCAACACCATAAATTTAACCTAAGAAAAAGTAGAAATCGCCATTAAGACTTGATAAGATTCCTGCTATATTTCTTAAAAATTGTTGTTTGTACTCGAAAATGACAACAACTTTCTCCAAAATTTCAATTTCTTTTTAGGGACATTGTAAAACTAACGGCCCAATTTGTAGCAAGAAATGGTAGAACTTTCTTGACCCAACTCATGAACAGGGAACAGAGAAACTTTCAATTCGATTTCCTACGCCCTCAACATTCTCTATTCCAATATTTCACCAAATTGCTTGAACAATATACAAAGGTAATTCAAGTTTTATATTCAACAAATACTCAATTAACTTATTTACAGATTTTAATTCCTCCAAAAACCCTCCAGCAAAAGTTAAGAGACGAAATCGTAAGCCACCAAACCATTCTAGATGAAGTCAAGTACAGGGCCGAGTATCAAAAATACCAAGAAGCCCAAAAAGCCAGAGAAGAAGAGATACTAGAACGCGAACGAGTTGCCTATGCTCAAATTGACTGGCACGACTTTGTAGTGGTAGAAGCGGTCGATTACCAAGCATTCGAAATCGGTAATTTCCCACCTCCAACCACCCCAGAAGAAGTAGGCGCCAGAATTCTGATCCAAGAACGTATAGAAGACGGCGAAGACATCGAAATGCAACTTGAAAGTGACGACGATGAACCTACAAATGTAGATTCAGGCCTCAGTCATATGGAAGACAGAACAGGCCCTACAAGCCGTAAAGATAACAATCAAGTGCAAGATATGGACGAGGAGAGTTCAGAGGAGGAATATGAAAGAGAACAGCCACAACCCATACAACCACCTATGCCTCCGGCTTTGGATAAAGTGGTTGTTAAAAAATATGATCCTAAAAAACAAACACCAAAAGTTACCAGACCAACTCCAGGGGATGATTATTTGGTCTCGCCAATTACAGGAGAGAAAATTCCTGCTAGTAAAGTGCAGGAACATATGCGAATCGGTTTGTTGGATCCTAGATGGGTGGAACAACGTGATAAACATGTTACAGACAAAGTAAATAACTGCCTTTGAAATTTAATCTTTTTTATTTCTAATATTCAAGCTAATGTTATTTTATTCCAGATGAATCAAGATACAGTTTATGCTCAAGGTCCAGCCATAGAGGCCAGTTTAAAATTATTGGCCGAACGTCGTACCGATATTTTTGGTGTGGGAGATGAGGAAACTGCCATTGGTAAGTTAACTGTATGAATTTTGAAGTTTTAATAACTTTTTTTTCAATTCCAGGTAAAAAAATTGGAGAGGAAGAAAGAAGAGATGAGAAGGTCACTTGGGACGGGCACACTTCTAGCGTGGAGGCAGCCACTAGGGCTGCAAGGGCTAATATCACTTTGGAAGATCAAATACATCAAATTCACAAGGTAATTTCTCTATTTTTTTTTTTTTAAATTCTAATTGGTACTTTGTTGTAGGTTAAAGGTTTACTTCCTGACGAAGAAAAAGAAAAAATTGGTCCTAAGAACTTGCAAGGCTCAAACAAAATGAAAATGCCACCGGCTCCGATCATTAAACCTCCACCACCAGTTTTGACAGCGCCTTCTACAACATCGATAGGTATTCCTGTACCTCCTCAACCTCAGATTATGGTACAACCACCTATAATGATGATGCCGGCACCACCAATGGCACCAATGAGACCACCACTTATGAGTAAGAATTTTTATTGATGGAAACTTACTGGCTCACTCTAATTATTCTATTTCTTTAGTGCCCACCCATCCACCTATGGCAGGTTTTGTAACTCCAATGCCTCCACCCATGGGTTTACCGCCAATGCCAGTAAAACACCCAAACGATGGTCCTTCAGAGGAAGAGCCTTCCAATAAGAAATTGAGAAATGAAGATTCCCTGGTGCCAGAAGAAATATTTTCGGCAAGAAATCCGGTAAAAATTGTCAGTGTTTTTTAAAAAATGTTTGTTGTAATTTATGATTTTTAGAACCCGGTTAATATAAAAGTGGCGATTCCGTTGATGCCTGATAAACCCGAATGGAAACTGACAGGTCAAATGTTGTCGTTCACTTTGCCTATAGGTGAAAATGTGGGAAATTTGAAAGTCAAGATACAAGAGGAAGTCAACATGCCTCCAACGAAACAGAAATTGTTGTTTGATGTAAGTTTTATTGTCAAAATTGTGTGATTATTTATTAATGTTTTTTGTTTTAGGGTATGTTTTTCAAAGATCAGAACACTTTGGCTTATTACAATATCACTCCGGGCGCTGTTATTCAGTTGCAATTGAAGGAGAGAGGTGGCAGGAAGAAATAAGTTTTGAATTATTGGATTCAAGGATTTTTCTTATTGTATTGATTGGTGTAATGATAAAGGGACATAATTAAGTATAAAATCAGTATTGTAATCATTTCCCACAATTATAATCAATCAAAATTCAATAATCATTTCAATGGTAATTATTTATAGTAGTTTTCTTTCAAGAATCTTGAAATTTCAAGCTTTTACATGTTTAGGAGTTTGGCTTAAGGAAGTCAGAGATTCATGGAGGAACGCCGGGAATTAAGGAAGACATTAGAAAATGAGAAAGTTTTAAAAACAACTTTTGAAATATGATTTAAGTTATTGGTAATTTACCATAGAAAAGTCCTCCTTTGAAAACCTTGAAATTTCAAGTTTTTACAGGTTCAGGTTGTTTCTACCTTATGATTTTCAGCGATTCTTATCCCAATACAGGACTACAATCCCTGAAAATTTCAGCTCATTTGCACTTATAGTTCCTGAGACAAAATCGTGTTAAGCAATTTGGGGTGGTTTATCAATTTTTCAATTTTTCTGAGTGCCTTTTTTCATAGATTTTGGCTTCAAATCTGAAAATAATTTAGTGTATGGAGTTTAGGGCATGTTAATTGACCATTAGGATACAAAATCTCAACAAAAAAAAAATTGAAATTTTATCGTTTTAGTAAGAAGGAAGATACCTTATGATTTAGATTTTGGAAAATTTTGGAAGGGCATAACTTTTGCTCTATTATAGATAAAAAGCTGAAATTTTCACTGAAATTTATCTCAATAAAAGGACTACAATCCCTGAAAATTTCAGCTCATTTGCATTTATAGTTCCTGAGATAAAATCGTGTTAAGCAATTTGGGGTGCTTTATCAATTTTTCAATTTTTCTTACTGCCTTTTTTCATAGATTTCGGCTTCAAATCTGAGAATAATTTAGTGTATGGAGCTTGGGGGATGTTGATTGACCATTAGGATACAAAATCTTGACAAAAAAAATTGAAATCTTATCGTTTTAGTAAGAAGGTAAGCTACCTTATGATTTAGATTTTGGAAAACATTGGAAGGGCGTAACTTTTTTTCTATTATAGATAGAAAGCTGAAATTTTCCCTGAAATTCATCTCACTAAAGGGACTACAATCACTGATTTATCAATTTTTCAATTTTTCTGAGTGCCTTTTTTCATAGATTTCGGCTTAAAATTTGAGAATAATTTAGTGTATAGTGTATGGGGTTTGGGGGATCTCAAAGGACCATTAAGACACAAAATCTCAACAGCAAAATTTTCAAATTTCATCGTTTTAGTAGTACTACCTTACTACCTAGCTTAAGGATGAGCTAGAGATTCAAGGAAGAACTTAGGGAATCAGAAAATCAAGAAGGAAAATTGAAAAAGTCACTCTCAGTTTCAAGGCAATCCAGAACGTCCCCTGCTTTCAATCCATGTACTGTGAACAAGGGTGAAAAAATATTACAAAACAACTATTATATCACTATATAACATTTATATAGCTAGTTATCACAATTTGAACCTAAAAACTAACTTTCTATAAGCATTAATTGAATAAGTAGACCTTCTATAAGTACCTACTCAATCTCATCCATATTTCAGTGATCTGAAACCCACAAAAAAATTATTTTAAATAAATATCAATTATTGAAATACTTACCAAGATACTTGCTCAGTACTGTCATCATTGCAAATCCAACTAAAACCGACACCAGCTGCGCCATTCCTGCGCCTTTTCTAGCATGCTCATGGTGCCACCTTGCCCTTTCTCGCGGCAGTACTTCACTAACAGTAACATAGAGAAGAGTACCACCAGCCAAAGACTACAAAACTTACTATCAAATCCATCCAGGCAATTTTCGGACACACTCTTACCTGTAAAATCGGAATAACAACATCCACAACGTCGCTAGGAATGTGAGAAATCAAAATTCCAGCAAAAATACCACCCAGCGACGAGGCAGTAAACACCAAAATGCACACGAAATGCCTGCAAAATGTTATGTGAGAGTTGCAAGCTAGTTCCACTCCCAAACAGAAGCCTACTACTAGTTTGTGTGATGCTATAGCCCCGAGAAGCAGTAGGACTTTCGAAGGGAGGCCTTCTAGCCCTACCACTAGGCCCTCTAAAAGGCTGTGCACCGAGAGGGCTACTAAAAGTCCTAGATTAGCTGTGGGGGCGGTAGTTTGGCACGGTTCCTGGTGCATCACGTGGCAAAGTTGAGAAGGGGGCTCGTCACAGAATAGGACACTGTCAGATTTTGCTCTGGAACAATATATGCTTTTATTTATAATTTGATTTAAGCACAGTATTACTTACCTAAAGAAGTTTGGATTGTAAGGTGGTTGATTTTCGCTTCTCAATAGTGCCCCTCTTTCAGTTTGAGTGGCATTGTAGGTTCCATAGTTTGGAGCTGAAGGGTGCCTTTGTCTATAGAAAAAAAATGCGTGATAATTAAAATTCTCCATAGTGGAACCAGATTTATTGTTACAAGGAGAACCCTACCTACTTATCTAGAGCAAACAGATTCATTCTAGAATCACCTCCAGACAAAATGGATATTTACCTGGAATAATGATCAGTTCCTGGCAAAGCAGCTCCATTATCATGCTGATGACTGTGTCCGGCAGTTTCTCCATAAAAATAATGCACAATTTCGTCCATTAAATATAAAAGAAAGAATCCAATGCAGAAAAATAATTCGGCAAAGTGTTGGTAATCTACGGTCGTCGCTTCTCTGGCCTCAGGAAGTATGTGGACCAAGGAGGTGCTCAGCAGTACGCCACCTCCGAAGCATAGCAGGCAGCTCAGAAAGAGCGGCCATTGTCTTCTGGATTGTTTGGTGAAACAAGCTGGCAATAAACCTAGAAGAGCAAAAATAGAAAATCACTAAATAACTATTTATACTCACCAGCTAACAAACTGCCAACTCCTAGTGAAACTAAAGCAAACAATTTGGATTGTGGCAAATCCATTTTTTTTTTCTGGTACTTAGTTCTACCACAATAAAACTTCAAACTTAATCGTCAACTTTACATATTTTTTTAACACATATTAATAATATGGTACCAAAATTAATAAGTACTTCAGGTTACGTTTATACAAACATTATCATTGAAATGTGTTATCTGCTGTGAGAAGCTATTGAGCACATGTGTTTACACAGACAAAAACACATTCTTTGTGACAAGTTTTTATCGAGACAAGATTTGTAGTTATTATTTGCATTTATAAGCTAAAAAAACTAAACAAAAGTGAATACCTACCTATTTTCTTTAAAGTATATAGTTTTATTTTAGAATATTTCAAGAAAATATTACAAATTAGTCTAGAATGTTTCATCTACTTGTTTAGATAGGTACCTATTATGTAAATATGTATTTGGGTAACTACTATCAATTCATAGCAAAAAATTTAGTTTGTTTGTTTCTCAACCTATTTTCACATCGAAAAAGTTTTTATCATGCCTGGTGTCATTATAATCTTGTGTTTGGTGTGATCATAAGACCAAAATTTAATCTTTAAAAATTTCTTTGACCCATAAACACGCATAAGTAGTATAAGTACCTACACAATAGAAGTTGAGGTAAATTTGATAATGTGAAAATAATTTTATTTTGTATTGAATAATATAAGGCATTGGGTAAAGTTGAGTGTCCACTTATTGGAGTCTTCCATATCATCAAACTTTCACTGGATCGATAAAATACATATAATATACTTCTCGATATGATCTAAAATCCAGAGTGGCAGTTACATTTTTTCACTTAGTTACGTATACATTTGCTAGTGTAGGTACCTACCTACTTTCATAGCGTGATATCTATAGTTTCTACCATCTTTACAAGTTGATGTTGATATTCAATAGTCCTTTCGCTCATATTCAATAGAATCGCAATACTTAATGTGCCACACTTTGCATAATAATCATTGCAATAAACGGTTATCTAAATACTAAAACCTCAACTTTTCTAGATGTACTTACAATTTTTCCTTATTTTCACTTAACTATTCTAATAGAATTAACTTTTCGTTACTTAGATCACGCACATAATGTAGTTTACCCGATTTAAATATTCTTTGAACTTCTTGATTCACGACCGTCAACTGATAAATACTTCTTCATTTTTCAAATTTTCCACTGCCAAGGTTCGATTCTAGAAACGGCAAAATTCAACTCCGTACTGTCTACACACTGACCACTATGTATGGAGGTGTCAGTTGCACTGCGACCAAGGTTGATCTTTTGTACCCCTCCTTCTACTGCAAAGTTTCCTGCTCAAAGTAGCCCCTCTAGTCCTAGGATATTCAGCGCTCCAGGGCTGGAATGTCTTCCAACTGTATAAGGAGACTTCTCAGGTTCTTCATCCTTGAGCATCGGCATCACAGTTCAGAAGAAGATGGTGAGGTGTCTCTTCATCATCTTTACAGAATCTTCCAACTTCCAACCCCAATTTCTGTAGGTGTTTCTTAAGTCTACAATGTTCCTAGAGAAACCCGGTTGGAGTCTTGAGACTTTTCTTGTCAAGGTTGACCAGCAGTTCTGATCTGTTTTTGGTTGAAGTTGCCTAATAGATCTTTGGCCTGTCGTAGTCCTGGCTGCTCTACACAGGCAGCACCGAGTCATCTTTAAGATGTTCACAAACGACATTCAAGGGATCTTTTATAGGTACGTCTGCTTACGTCTTCAAGGCGTCTTAAAAATATCTCAAAGATGTCGTATGTTACAAAACCCAACGTCTTTCAGACGTCTGCCCCAAGACGTCTTCAGGACTAATATTTTCATTTTAAAACTTTCAATTTGTGTCTATTCTAGGCGCTAGGCTCTCTGAATTAATTCTGAGATTTTTGAAGAGTTCTGAAGCCTTTCAAAATGCCGCTGGAAAGTGTTTTGGAACGTTCTAATTGGCTTTTATTGAAGTTCAAAAGTGTTCTAACTTGGTTTGATGAGTTCTGGAGCATTCCAGAAGTTTTTCAGTAATTTCTAAATTGTTCTGACAGATTTTTAAGTATTTTGTAGAGCCCTATTGAAACTCCAAAGTGTTCTAAATTGGTTTAAAAGAGTTCTAACAGGTGTCCAGTTCTCCATTGAATCCTAATTGTTCTAAAGTTAATACAGTAAAAGTTTGATGAGTAGAAAAGAAAGAGTTCAAGAAGTTAAAATCCTGTTACCGTTGTGGTGAAGTTTCACATTTAACAAATAACTGCAATGAAACCACTAATGAAACTAATCTAAACTGTAACAAATGTGGTAGAAGAGGGTCCGACACATTGCGAAAGTAGGTATGTATGAATTATTTTTCTGTTCCAAGAAATTTATCCTCAATATCTAGAAATTTCAATTAATTGGACTTTTTGGAAAAAGAAGATAAAGATGAATTATATTGCCTCAGTACACTTGATATACAGGGTGAGTTTTTTTCGATGTTTAGTATGGGGAGCTCGAAAACTATAGCAGATACGAAAAAGTTTATATTAGCAAAGAATTGCAGTTTTGTAAGCTCAAAACCAATTTTAGTTTTCCAAAAATTGGCAGCTGTCAATAGATATCTCAAAAAAACTGATTTTTGGCGATTTATTAAAACGCGGAATCACACAAAGACCTTCTTCTTGGACTTATGACATAAATAACTATTATTTTCCCATGGGTAACCAGAGCTGGGACTCTGTAACGAATAGATATTTTCTCTATCTCTATTGATTTCGATTAGAGAGAAGAAGACGGCGTCATAGCGATATGGATAATGATCTCTATCCGTTACAGAGTCCCAGCCCAGACTACGCTGAAGTGAAAGTTGAATAAAAAAAAAACACAAAAATGTCCACAAAAACAATATATTCAGGAATAACCCCATCATATGCTATACCATTAGAATGGTAATAAAATTCTCTATTCAATGGGGATAAAATTAAATAAGGTTTTCATACAAGACATAAGTTTATGTCACCTGTCAAAAATGACAGGTTCGACAAAAAAACTGTTTATCCTTGCGTTCGGTATTTTGCTCAAAGAGCAGAGCGTGCTGAGCGGAGCCGTAATCACGTGATCAGTGAGCGAACAGAGCAGTTGAACGCTGAATAAAAGTGCCAGAAATTTCAATAAACGAACGCGAATGAGGCTGCACCGAGTACACTTTTTAAATAAACGAACGGTAAAGTCAAGCTCGGAGAACTCGGACCAAAATAACGAACGCACGGTATGTCATTTTATTGAGAATAAAATTTCCTAATACTTTTGTATTTAACATTTTCTTCCAAAATCAATATTTGCTGAACTGGGAGCGTTTTAAGAAATCACCAAAAATCAGTTTTTTTGAAATATCTATTGACGGCTGCCAAATTTTGGGAAATTAAAATTGGTTTTGAGTTGAACTTACAAAACTGCAATTCTTTGCTAATTTGAACTTTTTCGTATCTGCTATAGTTTCCAAGATCCCCATACTAAACATCGAAAGAAACTCACCCTGTATAATACCTATATTTACCAGAGAATTCAAAAAAACCGAAGAAATATTTAGTAAAAGAAATTTAGATGAAATCCAGCTAGAAATGGAGTAAGATACTGGAGCTGCGGTATCTTCGATTAAATGTAAAGATTTTATAGAAAAAATTCCCAAAAAAGTAATAATTAAAACATATTTACCATTAAAACGATACATACAGGTGAAATATAAAACCCATTGGTTTTTCAAGTATGAATTTGAAAGTTAAGGGAAGGGAAGTTATAACCAATTTATATGTATTATAGGTAGGTACCAGAAGAAGTTGACCTGACTTTTGGCAGAGAATTGATAAATACCTACCACAAAAGCTTGACACCTCAGAAATACATTTCTGTCAGCACATTGGAGGAAAAAGGGGAGGTGATTAAAAGAAACATTTGCAGATGTTTCTCAAGATGAGTTGGGAAAAATTAACAATTTCGAAGGTAATCTATTTCTTGAAGAAAACTGTTCACCTATTTATATTCCTACTCGGAAAACTACTTATGCTTTAGAAGAAAAAAAGATTACTGAAATAAATAGACTTGAGAGGAAAGGTAGTTTAACTAAGTTGGAGTGAAGCTAGTGGGGAACTCCCATAGTCTCAACTTTGAAGTCTGATGGTTCCGTTAGGCTACGCGGCGCTGATTACAAAGTCACAATAAATAAATTACTTAAAGGTGATAAATTTTCAATGCCAAATGTGGAAGGTATTTTTGCGGAAACCATGCATGGTGAAAAAACATCTACGACACTGGATATTAGAGAAGCCTATTCATATACAGGGTGTCCCCGTTCAACTGCTCAAAAATGCTAGGGTATATAGAGGAACCATAGAGAAGTAGTTTAAGATAGGACACCGATGGTCGGAAGCGCGTCGTTTTCAAAATACAGGGTGTTGAAATTTAAAAAACCTCCTTTCATATCATCTGAAGGACTGATGCTAGACTGTTCAAATTTTAAGGGATTATTGCGATGTAGGACTGATATCTAAGAATTCGTAAAATGTACCCCCATTTTCTACCTGGAACCACCCCAAAAAAAAAAAAAAAAAAAATTGAGGTAAATTGATAGCTACCTAATTGAAGAACCAGGAGATTTGAACCACAAATTGGAGAATTGTTTAATGCGATATAGAAGAAGTCCTAATTCAACTACAAATGTTCCACCTTGCGTAAAATTGAAGAATTATGAGATCCGAACGAAACTTGACCTCATTTAACCTATTTTACAAGGAAAAAAAAGTTAAAATCGACGTTTGTAGAAAATTCAGGAAATTTGAAGGAGGCGACAGGGTGATTTCTTAAGTTCGTAATTTTTCGGAGGAAAATACAGAATGGGAATATGGTCATATTGTAGGAAGAAAGTGGCTATTACATTATTTAATGAAACTGGATGATGGTCGTATTTGGCGTAGACACGTTGACCATATTGCAATTACACAGGTACCCAAAAACACGGTTAATGATCATACCTGCAGTTCTTTTGGAAAAGGATATAGATGAAGACATCCAAAATACTGATAGGTACTAATATACACTCGACCATACAAGCAGTGAATGATGAAGACATACAACACAAGTAACTACTACTCTACAAGACGAATCTAGTGAATACATTCAAAATACTAGCAATAGTATACGTAATTGAAACAATGTAAACCTATGAAAAGTTTGTGAGCCTCTATTTACCATATATCAAGAGACTGTAGAAAAAAAATTTAAGTAAAGCTGATTCATATTTTACCATAATAAGATCAGAAACATATAAATTGTAACAAAATACTGTGTTAAATAGGATACCCATAAAGCTCGTTATAAACACATGTAAATCGGGAATGGGGAACAATATAGACGGTAACGTCGCTCACGTAATAATACGGGAATAATGGGCAGCGTGACGCTGTGATGCGATTGATTGGCATTGTCGGCGTGCAAAGGGGAAGGTTAATATCCAGAGACTCGTCTCGCGTAACCGGGGAATCCAGAACTAGGACCAACGACAAAGTTATAGGCTGGAATAATAATAATATTCGGAAGAAAGATGTAAATTTTTTACAAATTGTAAGAAATATTTCATGTCTTGAGGTGAAGCAGATCTATTAATAGGGGAAGTAAAAACACCAAATCTTCAGAGAAAAGATTTCAACATGTTTCAGAACCATTGAAATTTTTTTATTAAATTTCAATAATTTGTATGTCATAGGTACTTATACATGAAAATAAGTTTTTAAACTCCAGCCTATAAATTCTCTCTAGGCCTTTTTAATCAAATAAATGCATTGTCCCTTATTTCGGTAACTCTATCTCCGACCGTAAACCAGGGCCAAATAATAATAAGGGACACTTTTGGCCCTTTGAGGGCACAATTTGCACCCCGAACATGTGTCAACAGCACTTGGCGGGATGACGCTTATTTTTTTTTTATTAGTTTTTGGCAATTTTGATATTAACCTAAACGGACAACTGATATTACATATTTATGTTTGTCTCGACTCCAAACTAGATTTTGCAGATTTATTGTGGCATAAATTTGAAATAAAAAAAATCAAACACCAAATACATTGTACTATTTATTAGTTTAATTTATCTAACAACATTTTTGATTATACCTATAAGCTCTTGACTAGACTGCTAATTTTCCCCCAAATACCAGAAACAATTTTCAACCGACAACTTCATCATGCAACGCCACAACTTCCAAGTGAGGACTCTCGCAAGATTCGATTTCAGAATAGCTCGCTTCTTCCGAAACAAGTGACGACTCTTCGCTTCTCACTAAACCTTTTTTGTGACTCATATAGTCCACGACCAATTCTAAACCGATTAGAGCACGTAAATCTTTGACTCGTTTCTGTTTTTCTGATTCAGTTTCGCTTTTTTTGTCGTCAACATCCATGTTTACTGCTGTGTCTTGGGTTGTAGATGAAAGGTTTTTGTAGATGCTGGTTATATTGCTCAAAACGTAGTTGGTGCTGGTTTTGTTGCTGCTCTTATCAAACCCCATGGATTTTACATCGAATTTTGTCGATCTAGGATTGTTATTTGGTACAGAAAATGCAGAACAATGCCTCTTTTGGTTGAATATGTTGCTAGTTAAATTCTCTTCGATTTTAGGCTCTTTTTTGTCTTCTTTTGGGCTAACTATGGTGCAGTTCTCTTGAGGCGCTGCCTCTTTATTTTGCCGGTCGTAGATATGCCCGGAGACTCTGAGGTCGATGAAAAAGTGTAGAGGATCTATACCATAAGGGGGTGTAGGGTAGATTGGTGGGTACCACATTGGAGGTGGCGGGGGTAGGACTAAGTTCGAGGTACTTTCTTGGGGCAGTGGTAGGAAGGATTGGGAAGGCTCTTCAAGTTTTGGAGGTTCCGACTGAAAATAGTGTATGCATATTATCTGAAGCTTGATTATGCTTGTTTATAGTTACTTTTTGTTGCTGGTGCGTATTATTTGAATGGCTCGCAGTCATTGTTAGTTCGAGGGCTGCGTTTTCCGGACTCTTGCGCGTACTTTTCAACATCCAAGGTTCGTGGTGGTCAGGTTTTTCCAGAGGTTTTTCCAACTTTTCTTCTGCAATCGGAACGGCGTTGTGCGGTTGCAAGTAGGTTTCCCTGCTCGCATTGTTCCAGGCTCTTTTTCTGGATCTTCTTGTTTGTTGATGACCATAGAACATATTGCCAGCTGTAAAATAATAAAAATTTAGTTAGATTTTACAAATTTATTAATTTATTTTATTGAGAGGAGTGTCCTTGATTTCGACTCCCAGGTTCCACGAGTTTATATTTATTATAAATCAGGAATAGATTTTGATGAAAATTATTGGAACCTGTGGTGCTAAAACTTCTCACATGGAATAGTCAATTGGCTTCAGATTTGGCATTTAAGGTGGCCACGTTTTCGGTTCTGATCCGGAATTCGAAAATTACTGTAGTATTGAGGATGTTCGAAGAAAAAGACGACAATTGAAACCGTAGGTCTGAGTAGTATAAGATAGCCGGTTCTGCATCAAAAATTCCTTGTGGTAGTGCGAGAGAGATAGAAATATAGTGAGTAGGATGAACAAGTTTTCTTGTTTTCGGTGTCTATTAGCTCTAATTTTTTGCCCGTTGTCAGGCTTTTTCAGAAATTAAAGAGAAAGACAATAATTAAAATTGTAGGTCTGAGTAGTATAGATTAGCAGGTTCTGCATCAAAAGTTCCTTGTGGGAGTGCGAAAGAGACAAAAGTCTAGGTCTCTCGCGTGAGTAGGATCAACAAGATTTCTTGTTTTCTCGATGTCTTCTAACTCTAATTTTTTGCTCGTTGCTATGCTTTTTCAGAAGTTAAAAAGAAAACAATAATTGAAATTGTAGGTTTGAGTAGTATAAGATAGCCGGTCCTGCATCAAAGGTTCCTTGTGAGAGTGTGAGGGAGACAGAAGTATAGTGAGTAGGATCAACAAGTTTTCTTGTTTTCTCGGTGTCTTCTAGCTCATTCTTTGCTTGTTGTCAGGCTTTTTCAGGAATTAAAGGGAAAGACAATCATTGAAATTGTAGATCAGGGGTAGTATAAGATAGCTGGTTCTGCATCATAAATTCCTTGTGGGAGTGCGAGAGAAACAGAAGTATAGTGTGTAGGATCAACAAGTTTTCTTGTTTTCTCGGTGTCTTCTAGCTCTGATTCTTTGGTCGTTGCAACCCTTTCTCAGAAATTAAAGAAAAAAAGGATAATTGAAATTGCGAGTTTGAGTAGTATAAGATAGCTTGTTCTGCATCAAAGGTTTTTTGTGGGAGTGCGAGAGAAACAGAAGTATAGTGAGTAGAATCAACAAGTTTTCTTGTTTTCTCGGTGTCTTCTAGCTCATTCTTTGCTCGTTGTCAGGCTTTTTCAGAAATAAAAGGGAAAGACAATCATTGAAATTGTAGGTCAGAGTAGTATAAGATAGCAGGTTCTGCATCATAAATTCCTTATGAGAGTGCGAGAGAAACAGAAGTATAGTGTGTAGGATCAACAAGTTTTCTTGTTTTTTCGGTGTCTTCTAGCTCTGATTCTTTGGTCGTTGCCAGGCTTTTTCAGAAATCAAAGGAAAAGACGGTAATTGAAATTGCAAGTCTGAGTAGTATAAGATAGTCGGTTCTGCATCATAGGTTCATTGTGGGAGTGCGAGAGAGACAGAAGTATAATGAGTAGGATCAACAAATTTTCTTGTTTTCTCGGTGTCTTCTAGCTCTGATTCTTTGCTCGTTGTCTGGATAGCTTTTTCTGCATCAAAGGTTTTTTGTGGAAGTGCGAGAGAGACAGAAGTATAGTGAGTACGATCAACAAGTTTTCTTGTTTTCTCAGTGTTTTCTAGCTCTGATTCTTGGCTCGTTGCCACACTTTTTCAGATTGAAATCGTAGGTCTGAGTAGTATAAGATAGCCGGTTTTACATCAAAAGTTCCTTGTGGGAGTGCGAGAGAGACACAAGTATAGGCCTCTTTCGTGAGTAGGACGGAGAAAGTAACGTGTTATCTGCATCATCTATCATTTATCATCACTCACGGAAGTAGCCCATAACACTATTTCTTTCGCACTCACAGAAGAAGCCTGTAGAACCTATGCCATCTTACACTACTATTCCGAGAGTCTGGTTAGTTTATAGACAGAGGTGGGCACAGTTAATCGAAAAGTTAACTTCGTTAATCGTTAATTCGCTACTTGAAAAGTTAACTTCGATAATCGTTAATCGTTAAATTTTTGAGAATAAAACGCAAGTTAAAGTTATCCGTTAAGAGTTAATCATCGAAAAGTTATGCCGATGTTTGAAGCCAATTATAAGTAATAGATAATTGAAATAGAATAGACTGGGCTAGGGTATAGTATTTTTAATACCTATTTGGAAGTATCAGTCGTTTTAGATTGGTTGGTAATTTTCTGTTTCATCTGATTCATGATTGATGAACAAGGATGGTGTTATTCCCAATGGGTACTAAAAACACTATACCTACACTCCTACACAGGTGAATCTGAATAAAACAAAAAGTATCTAGATCTAGAAAGCGGCACTTTTCCCAATTTAGGTAGCTGATTTATTTATCATCCACCTCTGCATGAAAAAGGAGTTCCAAACTGCGCAGTGTAGCGAACTGAAATCTTCCATCTTTTCTACGCCTGTGCGAACTGTTCCGATTAACCTTGACGCGCAGTTCAAGCCAAAAAAATGACGTCATTTACCAATGTAACGGACTAAAGTTAACGGAAGTCCAATGTAACGGAAGTTAAGAAAACCGTTAATATTTTTCAGGTTAACTTAAAAGTTAAATTTAAGCAATTTTTTTAACTTCGTTAATTAACGGATAACGGATTAACGGTTTTCTGCCCAGCTTTGTTTATAGATTATGCCCGGGTAGACTGTTTTACGCTCAAGGGCCGATAATAATCAAAATTTGAAACTTTTCAATGAACGACTGGCATTGATATTACTAACCCAACTAACCCAATATTCATCAACATTTTCACAACCCTTATTTATTTATATATCAGTCAAGAATAAATTTCTTAGGAAATGAAGATACTAGAGTCACTATTTAAATTTTGCAGACTGATTGTTATTCTTACCTCCATATCCATTTCCAATAGTGCTACGTTGCTGCTGCTCATTTTTGGCTTGTACAAAACTCCTGAGCATCTCCGAAAAAAAGTAAGTATTCGGCAACAACGACATATTGTAAAGGTAAGGCGGAGTGGCGGCCAAAAGCCTGGATACCAAGTCGGTGTTGCGCAGCTCCATCGGCGACAATTTGGGTTTCGGCGGCGGTAGCAAATGGGGCTCTTGATGCGCAGACGACATTGCAGAATAATTCTGGAAAATTAAAAATTTAATTATTCGCCAATGAGTCGTTGAAACTTCTGGCATATTGTTCCAGGCAGGGAGAGTGCCTTTGCACGAGAGACAAGGGATATAACACACGCTCTGCGGGACTTCTTGGCCAAACAGACTTAAATTAATTGCTTCGTGGATTCTCAATGCTAGCCTAGAAGCTGTGTTCTTGAAATAGTAATTCGAGAATATTTTATAAATAATGACTGCATTATAAAGCAAATTTCTTCCAAATGTTGTTTACTAATTATTATGGATTGCTAATAACTGAAAGAAAATGTTTGAAATACATATACATATGTTTCAAATCTATTGCATTTGAAATTCAGAACGTAGCTATTCCCAAGAACACCGCAATCCTCCTCAATCTTAAATCCATTAAGCAAAACGATTAAGCCCCTCCGACAAGATGTCTCTCTTTCTCTCTGTCTTCTCTCCTATTGAATCGCGAGAAATTAAAGGAATTAGAGGTATATCCTCAACTCATCAAATTAATAAATCATCCTGCTGCGCTTCTGTGCCAGTGACGTTTCAAGACAAATAGTTTCGACCGTTTAATATTAAAATCTATTTTGGATTGGGAAATTCAGTTCTTAGAGGGGCGGCAGAAAATCCAGTACATTTCCTGTAGTCTTACTCTTAGTTCTAATTAGGCATTTTTAATATAATCAGAATTTAAAAAAAAATGCAAAATGAAGTATAGCTTCTCTAGTTAATCGACAAAGTTTACCCGAAAGAGATGAAGCTGGAAAAGCGGTGACAGGACGAATAATAGGCATCGTTAATTTTAATAAGTCTGGAAGCTATCATCATCCTGTTGATTTTCTTTGCCTCCGCTCGGAAAATATTCTAAAGTTTCCATTCTGCTTGGTGTTTGTGTTTCAAACAAGGCAGGTGTTCAGAGATGCATACTACCGATAGTAATTTTAATTTGGGTTTAGAAGGAAGGCACAAGTTTATTATATAGATGTTTTGACGTCATAAGGTGCTTTTAACTCAGGCACCTACATAAAGTGATATAAATTCTAAATCATCCCAGCTGAGATTGAAAAACACGAAAAACAGATAAGAAAATCCCAAACCATATACATATGTATATTTTCGCAGATAACGTTACAAGAAAATCCACTTTGCTTTGAGGGATAATAGAGCGTTACAAATCGACTTTAAAATAATTTGAAGGGGGGAGAGAGAAAAGTCGCATTTGCATATGGCGATGATGTGAGGGTGGGTTTCGACTTTTTGTGATAAGCGCTTTCGAGATTATTTTTAGGTTGACGTGGGGGCGGAATTTATTTAATCATTTTTGCTTCCTTCATTAATTTCTATTAGATAAAATGTACCTACCCTGATTGTCAACATTGAAATCTCATTTTAAACGACGAATTGTTAACATTGATTGTTCAGTTTCGTCTACACGCCCTGTATATAGTTGTAGGTTAAATTGGGTATTTAGGATTTCAAATCCTATTTGGGAATGGAAATTGATTCGTTTTTTTTTTCTCTTTATTTTCGTTCACTTTTATTCCAATTGAATTGCGCGTGCTATATGCCATATATGAAATGATGCGGCTTTGCTAAATTTGGCTTTTAAAAATGCGTGCGTTAAATGCTGAAAAAGGATAACTGCAAAGTCCTTACACTGACGAGTAAAATCAGTCGCCAAAAAACACTTCGTTCGTTTCGTATGATTTGAGAAAATAGACCTGCAGTTTTTCGGTTGCCGTGACCGGTATTTAATCAAGACGGTTTCGTTTGTACTCGTTCGCATTGGACTTGAACTTCCTGAAAGAGTTGGCCAGCTGCGTGGAGTTTGGAAGTAAAGCCAGGTAAGGTGAAAAAATATCCTTTTCAGTTTCGATATCTTCCAATATCAATTTAAAATCATCGATTATCATTCTATTAGCAACCTGTGGATTTTTCAATTTTAATTTCGCACATTGATGATGAATATTAAATTCTTTTCACCTCCCGCTCAAAACTAATGAAAAGAAAGATCAAAATCCTTTATTTTTTGTTGTACAATTTTAGTTCAGAAGTTTCAACTATGTTATTCTTCAAAACTAAAGTTTTCTCCAGTTTCTACTCTAGGATCTTGAATCTTCTTTTAGATGAAAACAAATTCAAGAGCCTGGAATAGACAAAAGTTGATAAATGAGAAATGTAAAGAGAAACAGGCAAAAAAGTTTTTCCATCTGAATTTAGAAGTAGACAAAAATTGTAATTACCTTTCTAAACCAAGAAAACACTAGACAATATGTAGTAATCGTTAGCAAATTCACTAAAATAATTGAATAGGTAAGTACATAGTTATCAATAATTAGCAAGTACCTTTTTGATATGTCCAATTAGGCTTTATCTGTTGAAAATGTAGATATAAGTATATTTTTTTCTATTGGAGTTTTTTAAATGTTAATTTGCAAATATTAATGATAATTGGTTACTTGTTGACTTTGGACTTTGAAGTTTTTTAAAAATATACCATCTCGAGTGGCAGTAACAGTTTTATATATTTTACCATAAAAACTTAAAAAAATGCCAGGAGAGAAGTTCGAAGATTCTTCAATCGAGCTAAAGATACTGGACAATAGGAAAAATATAGAAATATAATAAAGCAAAAACAGATGGAAGAGGTTTTGTGAAAGTGTGTCAGACAGATCCACAAGATTCTGTCTAGAGAACAGGTGCGGGACCTGGAATCGATTAAACGGCAGCTTCACTACCTCGAAGCGATGACTGGTTAATGAAATAATCACAGCGCATCCTCAAAAAACGCCAGGTATGGATGGTATATTTCCGGCTCTACTCCAAAAGGGACCTACTACCTCCATTAATTAGGACATACAGATCAAGCCCAAGGGGGCCAAAGACAAGGGTAGTTTATATACCAAAGATAGGTAGAGCCGACCATCAACGTAAATCGTCCAGACCAATAAGTCTTACTCTCTCATTCCTTCTGAAAAGTCTGGAGAAAGTTATTGACGCACAAATCAGGGAATGGTCATGAGGGCACAACCCATTGAGTGTTCATCAGTACGTCTACCAGAGTGGCAAATCGACGGAACTTGCTCTTTAGAGATTGTTCACAAAAATCAGCCTTCTGTGATCTCTCTTGATGGACATCCTTGTTACGATAAATTTATCATTTACGTAACATGTTCCATCTCTTCTTATTTTCATTATAAAGTTGTATTTTTTCCATTTCAGAATCAGCAAAATAATAATCTAAAAATATCCACAAAGTTTAAAATAATACAAGTGCTGCCATCTATCCATTGTGTGCGTAAAATGCAAATATCTAGTATTCATTTACCAGTGCTGCCATCTAGTACCGGATGAGTTTTTTTTTTTTTGAAATTGTGATAGTGAATATGATCTTTTGGGTGTACTCGTCTGATTGGTTGAACTGGTTAAAATGCAGTTAAGTATAAAAAAACATAGGATCGTTTTCCTGTGAGGTTTTGGTTTCTAAAACGTTCTCTTTTCTCGACAGTAGTCTAGCAGGCAAGTCCTTTTTATTTTTAATAATTTTTGCTCTATATTTTTGGATTCTCCCTCATAGATTTTTCAATATATTTTGCTATCAATGCATATTATCATATCATTATTAAGTTTTTACCTGATAAATCTTATCTTATCTATTCTTGAAATATAAATATTATATTTTAATTTTTTATCTAATTGTGGACTTCCATTTTGTGCGATTGGTAGTGCCACGTTTATCTGAGGTAAGTCAATTCAGATTTTTGGACTAATAAGTACTGCTGCTCTGGATTTCAGAATCAATTGTTAGTGTGGGAATATTGGACCATTTGCCCAAAATAGAGTCGGTGAAAACCAAATTTGTGTGTCCATCCCTATCAACTCTTTATTGAATCCAGGCAGAGGCCTGAATAGCCATTTTCTGTTTGACTCCGTCAATTATTATCTTGACTAAAGGGTGTAATTTTTTAATAGAAATCCAGACAGGTCAAAAATTCAGTTAAAAAGTTTTAATTAGAACATCTCAAGAATTTTGACATATTCTGGATTTGATTAATTTCAACCCCAGGTTTATCTTGTAGTATCTAAAGTAGCTACCTTAATTTAAAAGGAAATTTTTTTCTATTTGGGGGAGAATCTAAGGATTTAATTTCTTATTATTTTATCGTATTTTGTTCATATTTTTGCCTGCTAGTGCTACTGTCAAAAAAGCAGCATTTTGCTCAATCATAACGAGCATTTTAATTTAATCTTGCTGTTGTTATTTTAATGTTACTATTATTATTTTTTTATATTAAAATATCTTTTTTTTTTCAATTTGCAATAGCTGTTCGTACCTGGTTTTGTTGGAAGGGAGTGTCTGCACAACAATAGTTTTATAATAAATTTCAATTCCAATTTCCTTTGCAAAACACTCACTTTTTGACAGAATTCAGGGATTTAATATTCCAAATATTGGTGAACCTGATACTGCTTTATTCTTTTCTGGATACCTACTCGACATAAAGATCACTGTTTGCAGTCTAGATCAGCCGGAGAGACGTCACCCCAGCAATCTATCCTCTTCCTGGATACAGGAAACAACACGAAGAGCTCCAGTTCACGAAAGTGAAACCCCAACACCTATTGAAGAGCTCCGGATTGGAAAGGTACATGGTATCAGATTCACCGGAAAAACCAAGCTGTCAACACTAAAATTTTACAGAAACTAACATTTTACTGTTACTCTATGTTACTATTTAACATTGTAAACAAATTAAAATTATTATTTGTTGGATTTTGAGTGGTTTCATTTGCACATAAAGGGAGTACACGTTATCTTAATTTTTTGAATTCCACGACCCTAGGTTATCTTATCTTAAAGTAACAAATATCATTTAATTTGTACCTGCTTTCCATAATCCAATTGTAGCAGGTGGACCTGCAGGCTTATCCGGACGACATTGTAATAAGGAAAATCGGAACGTAGACTCTCCGAAACTCTTCAGGAAATAATAGAC